AGGGGTAGAAGAATGTCGGGACAGGCTCCTGGCCTCACTGGATGGGGCCTGCATCCTGGAAGTGGATGGGCCATCCGTCAGTGTTGCTGTAGTCACCGATGCTTTGGCCGATCCCCCCCATGGGCACTGATCTGCTAGGTGGGAAGAGCTCCCACACTGAAAGCACGTGGTCTCCCCAAAATAAAAATAGATCACATACCTCCATCTCCTCACTCCCCCCACCCCCCCCCACTGCCACCCCAGCTGTGGAGAAGCCCAGCTACACCAGCCTCCATCTTCTCCGAGTGCGCACAGACTCATGCCTGCATTATTCCCTGGTATCACAAATACTACCAAGAAATTTAATTTGGAAGTTTTCTTGGCTCCAGCGTTACCACCGCCTGCTCACTGCAGGGGGATTTGCCCTTTTTGTTTAATTTTTATTTTCCAAAAGCACTTAGCCCCTGGCTGCAGAACAGAGAATTTCCCTCCATGACAGCCATCCCCTTGCCCACCCCAGGGAGCTTTTCCCTTGCTGCTGTCCCTGCCAAGCATGCTAACGGAGGAAACAACTGTCCTCACTAGAGGCAAAGGGATAAGCAGGACTGTGTGCTGTGCTCTTCAGCTGGCTGAGGAGGGAAAAAGACCAACAGGCCTGTGATCCCTCCACAGACCTACTAGAACGGCCTCTCCTCAACTGAAGAGGCTTCAGTAACAGTGTTCCTGCTGCTACAATGCTGCTAGCATGACCCAACCGAATGGAGACAGGATCTGTGACCTCCTCTGAACAGTGTCCTGACAGGTTGCCCCTCTTTAAAAAGTATCAAAACCAAAGCAATGTTCAGGCCTCAATGTCTACCAAGCACACCTGCCTCCAGAAGCCATTTGGTCCGATTTTCAACAGGCCTCCGGTCCTAACCCTCCCTTGGAAAAAAAGGGACTTGGCAGCCTCTCTTACAAGTGGACAAGGAGTGATGGATATCAGGATAGGAAAGACCAAAAACTCCAACAGAGCTAACGAACCATGGCTTACAAAGAATGCAATAGAGAAGCATGGTAGTCTTGCAATAAAATCAGAGAGAGGGATGTGAACCTTCTTCCTGCCACTACAACTGAGGATGAGTCAGTCAACATCTCTATCCCAAATGGCAATGAGAAAATTTAGCTACTTCCCACGGCAGGCAAAGGGCACTGAGATTAAAGGCATGTTTGTGAGGTGTTCTGAGACCCTCGCATAGAAGAGGAAATGGAAGTGGAGGACCAGGCCTAGTTCCTTCTGGCGGTGCCTGCCTCCTTCCCTGAGGGAAACCCCCTTCCCCCACCACAATCCAGCCTACATACTCCTCCATACCGGTTTAGGAGGAGCCCTTTTAATGAGTAGATCTCAGATTTCAGTTCATTGATATTCTGTGACTCCAGGATCCAGTTGGTGGAAGTGGTAGCCTAGGACACAAAACACAAGAGGTAATGGTCAGAGTAGGCACTGAGAGATCGTTCAGAGAACTGTGCTGTTCTCTCCCACCCTCCCTCGAAGCTCGCAAAGGCTTCAGCAAAGCATTTAAAAATTCTCATTGCTGGGCAAGAGGATTTGCACAACTTGGAGCAGGCGCTGGAACAGACTCCCAGAGAGGCCAACTGTTCTATCACCAATGGCCTAGGACAATTTCTTGCTCTGATGTTAGCAGGCATCACAGATTTCCCTTCAGTCAATGGGAAGGGTTAATTCTTGTTTCCAAAGCACATTACACAAATCAGATCAAAACACCATACATGGCTGTTGTTAAAGGGAGTTTTCTTCTCTTGTTTAAAAGAGGAAGTATTTGCAAGGGGGGTAAATAGGAATCCCTACAGTAAGGCTGACAGAAGAAAACCTTGGAGAGCCAGCCAGCCAGCAAGGCAGGGAACCAGTGCAGCCCCTGGAAAGGCAATGAAGACTTCCCCATGTTCACCTAAGAGCATGCTCAACTCTGACCCCAAGGGACCACTGCTTGAGAAGAGAGCCTGGGATTCAGGATGAAATTTTCAGAGCCACCTTAAGTGACTCATCTGAGTCTCACCTTCTTTCCTGGGACTGCCCTCAGCAGTTAAGGGAGCAGATTATAATCTGAGCACTGAGTGTTAAAAACTGGGCCAAGACTACTAACTCATTTCTATTAAACCACAAAACAAACAGCCACTGGCTCGCAGTGCATGGAGGTAATCAGTGTTCTGATCCACAGATATTTGAAGAGCCAAAAAACTTCTCCACTAGATCTCAACAAAGAGAAATATGCTTGAGCTACCAGATTGCATCTCTAGGAAGCGAAGCTGGGACTGGACGAGCTGAACACCAGCACAGCCAGTGCTCGTATTCATTCCTTACACGGACTTCAGTTAGGGCTGGATAACTGCGAGCACCTTCACAGCCAGCATTCCCTACAGCGACTCCAGCTGGAAGAGGCTCAGACCGTGGTAGCTGTGATATACACAGACGCCTTCCCTTGGGATTCACACTCCCAGCCCTCAGACAGCGAGAATCCAGGAGCCACTGTTCTGGCTCACCAAGACCTTGAAAGCTACAGCAGCACATTAACAAGGGAGTGCTTTCCACTCACTGGCCTGCAAAGGACTCGAATTTCCAAAACACATATGGTGCCAGATGCCTAGGATTTAGAAATAAAATCTGACATCTGGGGCTTTTTAGCCAGTCTCTTTAAAAAACAGTTGTAGAAAATGCAAGCCTTGAGTTTTTATGTATGTTTTTTAATTACTTAAAGCTCCTCTTTTTAATTTTTTACAGTGTGCTAGTAGGAGTTTGAAAAGCAGATATAAAAACTTACATTACAGCTAAGAAAACACAGCTTTCACTCCCTGGTTTGTGGGGTTGCCCAAGCCTTTCTTTGTACACATGAGGTTTAGATATCATAACAGCATGCACTACCAGTTCAGCGCAGAAGGGAGAAGGGGGAGGAAGAACTTTTTAAAGACGCTCTAAACCACCAAGACTGCTTTGCCCTCTTCCCTCCTCCAGGATCAGCAGGTGGTCTTAATCTTAACACTTACGACGTGAAAACAGTTTTCCAATTTCCGGACTGGCTCCAGGCCACTGACAGGCCACAGTTCCCAAAGAAAATTGAAGCAGAGTGTTGTGACCATAAACTGGCTTTCATGGTTGGGTTTACATTTCTGCCACTGAGGGATTCCTACTGTATGGCTTGTACGCCACATAGCCAGAGGTGGCCCACCAGTTACATACGATCAAAGGTTTTATAAGAGACCGGAGCCTGGGGGAAGAGTGACTGTTAGTCCTGGAGGTGGAGAACTGCATTACAAACACCTAACTGTTTCAGACATCTTGTTGTAAAAGGCAAAAGCTCTCACTGCACAGAGACCACTGAACGCAACAGCTGGGGGGCAGAATGACCCTAGGGCCCTGCTAGTTTTCACCTCCAAGTGACCAGTTCAAATGCAGGCCAGTTCAGCAGCGACTGGCAACTGACGGTGAAGTGTTTTGGAGATGAAAAAGATTAAGTATCAGTGCCACAATCCAAGTTCAGCTTGATGGGGTTCAGAATAGTCCCCAAATGCACAGGTAACCATGCTGCAAAAGTATGAGCCCCCACTGGCTCATTTGTTGGCAATCTCATCACAAGCACAGTCAACAGTGACTGAATGCCATTCTCATCCTAATGATGGGCCTTTTAGTCTGGACATGAGGCATGTTGGCCTAGACGTGCTGGGACCCTTGTTTAACCTGAGAATGACACAGGTGGCAACTAATGCTACCTGTTGGGCTGAGACCATCATCCATTTCAGCTGGATCACCTAGCAGCTTTTAGTCACTACACGACCTCGATCTAAACAGGTGACTTGGATGCAAAGAACCTCATAAGCCTATTCCTTTCAGCCATCCAGTCCTACCTTGGTGATAGGTACAGTGTAAATACTTGGACTGACAGACACCTAGCGAGATGGAGCATTAAACAGAGCACCCTCTATTGCTATCCTAGTTGGTATCACAGTAAAAAAAAAAAAAAAAAAAACCTTCTACCCACATGGCCTTTCAGTCTGGTCAGTAGGTTGGCAGACCAGTCATCCTGTCTTCATTGCCATGTAAAACCTACTTACCTGTCCTTCCATTTCACCAACTAGATATGCGATTTAAATTTCTGCTGAGGTAGTTACAGAACTAGTCAAAGAGCTCAGAACAAACCAGATTTCAGGCACGAAGGATGCAGGTAACATTATCCCAAAAGCCTTATGTTTAGTGTAGAGACAAAGTCAACACCTATTAAACTGCACAGATACTCCAGGAAGACGGGACCAGCTACAAAGAAACTTGGGGAAATAGAATGAAGATGTGGAGATGGGTTAGGGAGGCGACCATAAGAAGTCATGCATGCTCCAAAGGGCTAAGGGATACTCTGAAGGACACGCAGATGAAGGTAGGTACCTTGGAAGCAGCCAGCTCTTGGGTGAGCTCCTGGATTTTCTGTTGCTGCTGCATCAGCAATTCCTGAACAGAGGCTAAAGTTGTCTGTAATTGAGTCACTGTGGGGGGAACAGCAAGAGAGTTTCAGTTAAACTGAAAAACACACACACACACATCCTTCCTGCTGTCTAGCTACAAGATGCCTTTATTCCTACTATATCTAATTTATCTACACACGCCCGCTCACTCTAATCCATATAATTTATCTGCACTATGGGTAATCTACCTGCACTGCATCTAACCTCCAGTATTTCTAGTTTATCTTTCCATTGTATAGATGTCTATAGCCCACAGTATATCCGTCCAAAACCTCTCCCTTCTAATTATATTGGTTTATGATTTGTACATCTCCCTGAACTTATACAATGTTTGTATCATTTATCTATCTTGGGCCTCGCACGGGCACTTGGTGCTGAGGGCTTAGATCTCGTCTGGAAACTGACAGGTCCCTGGATCAACCCCAAGATCTGGGGAGAAATGAAAGAAAGCCTCTCTCCTCCACACCCACTGCCAACAGGTGCAATTAGCATCTTCCCACCCTCAAACCACCTGCTCCTTCACCCCATGATGGCTGTAACAGCCCTGTGGCCATAAATCACCCTCTCTCCTCTTTCTGTAACCGGATATACTTAGTGCCCTGCCTTGGACTTCAGAGGAGCTCTCTCAACCCCCCCGCTGGACTCCGACTGGGTGGTGAGGAACTGCCTTCAGCTGTGGTATTTTATCCAGTGCTTCCACCCAGTAAACAAGCTGATAAAAAAAAAGTCTATTGGTGTGACAGGTAACAGCTAATCTGGGCCATCATTAGGGCACTGGGTAATGAACAGGCGCCCTATGGAGTCAATAACAGAGAAGGTGGCTGGGGTCAGGAAAGGCACAGTAATTACAGACTCTCTTGACCCCTGCTTTGGATTCTCGGAGAAAAGGGGGGGAGAAACCACCAAAAAAGCCCCCGAAAACCTCAGAGAAGCAGAAATTAAAAATGAACTTTACAGCCCTCCGAAAGGCTGTCATTTTATTCCCCTTATTAATATTCTGAGGTTGGGAGCCTTTCCGTAAAAACATAATTAATTGAGGCCGCGCCGACAGTAAACAAGCAATTTCAAATTAAACCGAAATGACGGCGGCTTCATTTGCAAATGTGAACAGATTCTCAGAGCAGATAAATGAAGTCACCACATAAAGTGGAGACGGAGGGGTAGAGGAGGGGTGGGGGTCTTGGCAGGATGGGGATTCAGGCAGAAGGGCTTTGAGGGGTGAATTGATGGAGTCATTAATCTTTACCTGTCTGTGTCACGCTGCCACTCATCTCAGAAATGTTCGACTCAATCCTCTGAAGTTGTTTCCTGTCTTCTTTGCCTCCCATGATGAGAGGGAGCAGGTATTTCTGCATGGAGCAGGAAGGCTTTGTTAAGAAACGGGGATGGACCAGGGGTATCTTCTAATCCCGTAACCCCAGGACCTATCAGACCAATTCCCACACCAATCTCAGAACATATGACCATGATCGCACAACTGATGCAGATCCCCTGAAAGGAGGCACTCAGAGCAGCCATGAGAAAAACTGAACTACTGAGATCTCCTTTTCTGGGCTACTGAGAAGAAGCTCTTGGCTCTGTTTAGGGGCTACTGGAAAAGTTCTCAGTCCAGAGCCTTTCTCCATCTGCACACCGATGGATTTCAGTCTCTATTGCAGGCCTCTTACAATACCCGAGATCTACCCATTCAGCAGAAAATGGAGAAGCAGGGAGACCATAAGAGTATGGATACACAGGAGCCAAGGGAATGACAGACCTTACAGAGTCCTGGAGGCAGGATAACCAACACTAGAGGCACAGGGAGCCAGGAAAGAACGTAGAGAAGACGGGGCCACGGTGGAAGCAGAGCGCTGTGGCCCGAGGGCTAAGGGACAGGGGTCAGTGCACTAAAGGAAAGGATGCAGCTCAGGGACAGCATACACTGCAGCCATGAAATCAAACTCATTCTGCCCTTGCAGGGGATGGACTTGATCTAATAGGTCGCAGCCATCCCTAATTACCGTGATCCCGCTTGGGACACAGCACATGTGTACTGAATGTGCAGCCTAACGTGAGCAGGTTCACACACAACATGCCTGGCGCAAGAGGGGGCTGGGCAGGTGTGTGGAAACAGGCCTGATTATAAGGAAGCACCTTGCCTACCAGCGCTCTCTTAACCTGGCCCTTGATATAAGTGCTTCCAGGGAGGCATTTCTGAGAGACAGGGTATAAAGCAGCATTCATCTAGATGCCCATTACCATATCGGTACTCTACTATTTGGCTGCCTCTGCAGACAGCTCTCTCGCTGAGTATGTGTACAAACACATGCTCACACATACATACATTGTCACTCCATTTTTTCCTCCCATTCTGAAAAGCCAGAGCAGACAATTCTCTTCTGAACCTCCCAGAACACCCAAATCAGCAATGTGACAGGGTGCGGCAATCTACCCAATAGGGACAATTACCACCACGGGCACAAAAATCACTGCTAAGGCCAATTATCCAGTTGCACTTAAGCAGCTGGCCCAATACACCTTTGGCTCCTATAAAAGGGAACGCAGCTTCTGCTGGCCAACCAAGATGTCTTGTGGCAGGTGAAAAGGTGAGGGATCTGCACACAGAGAGAAAGGCAGTGGGATACAGCACACTGCCATCCTCAGTGAGACTGCATGAAATGTTATATATGAAAATAGAGTTGGTAGATGTTAATTATAGTAGCAATAAGACTGGTTGGTTATGAATCCTATAAGGGCCGGAAGCTGTTTCCCTTCTCAGCCCTCAACAGTCTGTACTAGACTGGAAGCAGCAGCAAAAAGAGCAACAAGAGGACAGAAAACTAAAGGAGCACCCTGCACAATCTTGGGACTGCACTTGCGTGGGCACAGCACAACATGCTCTCCCCCTTACCCAAACCCAAGAAATGAATGAAAGGAAAAAATAAGAGAGAGTGAAGGGCATCGTTCACAAACAGCATTTGAAATGTGAACTTTGCCAGCAAACCATTCACAGTCCAATTTTAAAAAACTCACTAAAAACCTAGTTGTTATTCTTCATCCCAACACCCTCTTCACACACACACACACACACACACACACACACATCTGTTTTCTCAGTGATGCTGTGGTCTCCAAAGTTAGTAGCTGCCATAGTCCAGTGGTATTGGAAGCAAGGGGTTCTGACCTCACACCTTGCTATGTAGTAATACCAAGGATCCTAGTATTCCTGGTTTAAAAATCGCAAATTCTCTGATTAAAAACGCCTAAAATTCACAATTAAAATGAAACTCCACTATACATATAGGTATTAATTGAACACAATGCTTTATTGATATATCTACAATTTTAAAACAATTCAGAAGCCTACCAGTGCCTCAGTCACTCTAACAGAATAAATTCTAAGTACCTATAAATTTTGATATTTGATTTTGGGATTTTTATCATGGAAAATTAGAGCTGCCCCTGCCCCCTTAGCTCACCAGGACACAGGTCCAGGCCCTTCACTCCCCACCCGCAGCCCCACAGCCCTGCCAGTGCCCCTCACTCCCCACCCACAGCCCCCACTCCACAGCCCTGCCATAGGGGGCCCTCAGCTGCCATGGCTACGGGGCCCGGGACCCAAGTCTGCAGCCTCCTGCCCCCCTTAGCAGTGCCTGAGCCCTGGCTGCTGCCCACAGGAGACAGTGGCTGCTGTGGCAGAGCATGGAGCCTGGCTCCTCCGCCCCTGCGGGCAGCACAGCCAGAGTGAAGCCCATGATGGGGTCGGAGGCAGGCTGCCCGGTGTGGGCTCAGGCTTCCTGCCCTGCTGCCCTCCCCATGGGGCCTCCGTGGCCCAGCAGGGCAGAGCGGAGCTGGACAGGGAAGCTGACTGCCTTTGCTGCAAGCTCCACGCCACCCTGGTGAGGCGCCCCCTGCTCTCCCAGCAGCAGCAAAGGGCACAACTCTTGTGCTGCCACCCTCGCTGCTGCTGGGCAGGCAGGGGGCACTTCGCCAGGGTGGCGCGGGTCTTGCAGCGGCAAGGAGCTTCCCCACCCAGCCCCACTCTGTCCTGCCACGCCAGATCCCACCCGCTGGGCTGTGGAGGCCCTAGGTGGGGAGGGCAGCAGGGCAGGGAGCCCGAGCCTGCCGTGGGCACAAATCTGGGGGGCACATGTCCCCCATACACCGCCAGAAGTGCATGCAGCAGCGGGGAGCCAGCCCCCTGGATGAGCTGCCTGCAGCTCCGTCCCACTCCCTACTGGGGCCCTGCAGACACATGTGCCAGCCCCAGGCCCCAAGCCCCATGCACTGCTTGACTTGGCAGCATCCCCAGCCCCAGCCCTGCCCAACTCACTCCCTCCATCCCTATGGGAGCCTCAATCCCCTCCCCCAACCCCCTCCAGACTTACCTGCGGGAGCTGCTCTCCAGGCTGCCTGGTGGCCATGTGCATATGTGAGCGCACATGAACACGGCACCCCCTGCCTGGCCACCTCCTCCCGCTCCCCGCAGCCCCTTGCAGGCTGAAACTCTGCCAGCCCGCAAAGAGCTCTTTGCAAAAGTGGAAAATCCACACGTTTTCCCATTAAAATGAACAATCCACGTTTTTCTCAGTTAAAGGGGAAAATCCGTGTTTTTTTCCTGATTTTCTGTGGGAAACAGAAAACCTGGATCCCTGGTCATAACATGCATTTTTCTCCCAACAGCTCTGTAATTTTATTCTCCATAGCAATGGGGAGCAGGTCTCCAGTGAGAGATTGAGCACATGTTTAACCAGAAAAATACAAAAATGGGCTGGATGGGTGTTTCTACCACATAACCAGCGTACATGCTTGCTCTAGAGCAGTGGTTCTCAACCTTTTTTGTACCAGGACCCATATGTAAACGTCGATGGCTAGTCCCAGCCCAGGAAATAATTTAATTAGAAAACAGCCCCCAGGTCCTGCCGGTGCCCCACACTCCTGACCCACTGCCCCCAGTCCCCCAGTGTGTGGGGCAGAGGTACACGTGTGGGGTAGGGAGTCGTGGGACATGGGGGACCCAAGCAGCCCCTTGCAAGCTGGAACTCTGCCAGCCTGCAAGGGAAAACCCACTGTTTCCCACGTTTTTCTCCTTTAAAGGAGAATCCAGTTTTAAAGTTTGTTTGAGACCCTTTCATATATTCCCATGACCCACTTTTGGGTTGCGACCCATGGGTTGAGCAATGCTGCTCTAGAGGGTTCTGAATAAGCAGACAGCCTCAGTAATGGCACGCATACACTGGGAATCCCGCAGAAGAGGTAAGCACCTCTTCTTCTGCCCTTTGACCAGCCAAAATAATTCATAGAAGCAGTATGGCCTAGTGGAGAGAGGCCTGGGATTCAGGCCCCCTGGGTTATATGCCTGGTTCTGCCACTAGTATGTTGGATGACTCTGAGCAAGTCACTTCACCTCCCTATGCCTCAGTTTCCCCTGGTGTAAAAATGCAAACAATTATACCTATTTCACTTGTGACTGTTTGGGTTCTACCAAGGAGAAGTGCCATAAAAGAGCTAGATATTATCATCATTACTTGTCTAAGGCATTTGCTCCCACTTTATTGGCTCTTGTTGGAGCACCCATACAGCTCCATTCATACATCCAAAGAAGAGTCAATAAGAGCAGCTGGTTCAAGGACTGCATCTCTGCTTAGAGCCAGCATGTTTACTGGGACATGGGAAGCACAACCACCACTCTCTTAGAGCAAAAGCCACTTTGGTGGCGCAGAAAGACACCACTTACCTTATAAAGCTGATGGAAGCCAAAGGCAATCCCTGCCATAATGATAGCCAAAGCACTGTAGTCTCGCCATCTAGATCCCGGTGCACCTAATAGCCAAAAGCCAGAAAGAAGCATGGTCAGAATGTGCATGCAGAAAGACCTCTGGGTGAGTCACTTTTGTCCCATGCAAATGCCTACTCTGGAAAGGGAGGAAGAATAATGCCAACTTCTCTGTTTTCTAAGGCTGAGCAGAGTAACTCCAGAGACACAAATGAAAGGAGAAAAATCACATCAGTAATCCACACAGGTCTCTCAGTCCTGCTCAGCCTGTTCTTTGTGTGGAGCGGACACCCAAATCTGTGCTGCACTGACCCTGGGCAAATCTCTGTACTGTTAGTATTAGCTGAGTCTAGTTTGTCAACCAAGTGCTTTCAAAGATCATCATTTCTGAAACTGGAGAAGGAAGAGGGGTTTCAGGGAACTGGTGGGAAAAAAGGAGACCCCCATCAACTCAGCTATGAATGCCAGGATGGACTTTCAGGTTGAGGAGTTGAAGGCGCATGGACATGACACCAGCCACTGCTCCCTTGAGTGCTAATGGCTATGGAAACTGGATTGTCTGAACTATGGCAGAACAGTAGGCCACCTGGGATTGCCTTTTTCAAAAAGAGAAAACCCTGTTTGGGACCGCGAGTGTGCTCATAAAAGAACAGAAGAGAGGAAAAGTGTTGCGCTGTCTCGTGGATCTATTCCTTACAGGCATATCTGAGGATCCAGTGCTTTTCTTGGCTGAATTAAGAGCAGGAGCCAAGGTTCACCACACTTAGCAAAGCCAGAATACGCATTAGAGAGAGAAAGAAGAGTGGGGAAAAGCGTGAGGTGCTGAACACACCGTTCTGCACCAGAGCTTAAAGACTGAACAAAGCAAAGATGCTGCTTTCTCTGTGGCAAGAAGCAGAAAACACCTGTAGTTTCCACCGGCTTCTCCCTTCCAGCTCCCGGAACGAGCTTGCTAAGAAGCTTGTACTGCCCCCGGTTGTCATTAATAATAAAGAGGATGCAGAGTGATCTTTCCTGAAGTTCAGTGGCAGGATGTGGGCAAGCACTCAGGAGGCAGAGGATGGCATGTGGCCTCTAAACAGACTGATCCAACTCCGCACGCAACCCACAACATTCAAGAAAAGCACTCCCCTCTCCAAACTGTCACACGGTGCTTCCAGGAGAAAGAGACTTCATTGGCAGGAACGACTGAAAACTTGTCTCCTTTCCATCTCAGTCATTCACTGCCCACTGAAACCGAATGAGTGGGGAACCAAGGATATCTAAGGCTGCAAGCTTAGCTGTTACAGAGTCTGTGACAATTTGCTATTTATCCACGTTCATGTCTCTAGATTTCAGGATGCAGCATGCAGCTTTTAGTGCCTTAAATACAACGATCTCCACTGTAACTCTGGGCTAGACTGAGGTACCAGGAAACCTGGTGTCATGCTTGGGACATTCAGGTACAGGAATCAGCAGCTCAGCTGGCTTTTGAACCCCTGAGTTGCCAGTTGTCTGCCGAGACGATCCGAACGCAAATATCCTTCCACGATAATGTAGCTCAGCCCACAGCAAACTCCCGATAAGAAAGGGTTAATTAATCTCACAGGCTCTGTGGCTCTCAATTGCGCCCTGCGTATGGATCGTCAGTCTTTGCCTAGATGCTCCCAAATCTCTCCCATCTGCTGTGACCTCTGAGCAGAATCAGGAGACACCTGTAGGTCCCTGTCAGCATTGCCCTTTCACCTCCCGCATCTCTCCCCTCGTTCCTGTAACGCTCACACTAAGAACATTTTATTGCCCCCTGGTTTTCATTATTAATGAAAAGGGACCAGAATGATCTTTCCTAAAGTTCAGAGAGTCTATAAAGACAAGAAGCTGAAATGCCATTTTACTCGTTTTAGAGATGTGTGAAACAATTCAGTCTTGTGGCAAAAAAAAAAAAAAAAAAGGG